GTAGCATACTGGTACAACACGATGCAAGCTATCACCCCAGTAAATAATAATAGTATTTGATGTAATGGGCGAGCTGTTAAATGATCACCCAGTTCGAGTGTGTCAGCACGTACGCACGTGCGCAGGCGTTAATAAAATGTAGAAGAAACGGCGAACAAAATATCAAGCTTTACCAAGGAGTTTTTTTTCAAAAAATGGATGCCAGGAAAGATAACATATACTGTACATGTACCTCTCCTAATGCTATGTATGACTCATTAACAATTGCTTAACAACAGTCATCAAAATGTTTTTATGTTTTATAATTTTTTAGTATGAATGCAAGCACAATTTCCCTCGTAATTCCGTATAGACTTATATAGACTGTAATTTTAGATAAAAGTGGAACAAATTTCATACAGCGAGTATCACAAGGCATGAGTGCATTATGAGCGTGTATTTTGCTATCGATTTTTCTTAGTTTTTGAACTTAAATGCAATGCAGATAATTTCGGTTCGTATCTAGCAAACTGGTACATCATGATACAAGGCTATCACTGGTATTGATGACCCCTGTTACTGATAATAGGATCTAATATTGTGGGCGAGCCGTTACTTGTTTACTCATTATGAATCAGCAAGTACGCCGAAGTAATTAGGCAAAAGAAACGGCAGAAGAAAACATTAATATTCATTAGTGAATGAATTTAAAAAATCGATGTAAGGAAAGATAACATCTATCTGTTCTAACGCTTACCCATGCAAAGGGATTATAAAGAACCGGTAACTTTATTAAGTCGTATCTTTATAAACGGATCATTTCCAACAACAAATAAAAATGTATCTTCCGCCGTCTGCAGTGGTTCCCGACCCCATATCACTTAGGGGAGACCGGGGCTAGTTGGCCCAGTTAGACAATTTTGGCCTTGTAAAGCCAACTAGGAATGAGTTAGAGTAAAGAAACCGGTGTAACAGTAATCCAAGTCCCCCAGGAACCGAGATCCTTCGGACCTCGATTCCTGGTAATGGTTGTCTGTAGGACTAACATTACTTGGGAATAGTAGTCCTACAAGGACTTAGGTTCCTGGCTCATAATTATAGTAGGTATGGATTCGAGACCTACCTTTGACATGACCTTACCCCCCCCCCTTCCCCCTATTTATAACTTGTAGCAACATGTTTAATGGTGTTTTTAATATCTAATATGTGTTCGAAATTCCGTGCTCATTACATTTAAAACTTTTTTGTTTTGTATTTTAAGTGTCAAAGCACCAAAATAGCAAAGGGTTATTACAGAACATTATATACACATAGGGCCTATTGCAATTTTCAATTTCTAAACTGTCTTGATTTGTCTTAAATTTAGCCCATACTTTCCATGAGCAAATTTCCATCGAGTTTGGGGTTTTCTTTTTAATTTCAGCGAGTGTAAACCGAAAAATAAATCTAAGAGCGTTTTGTGTAAAGTGATTTTTCTCTTAGGAATAAGGTTTTGAAAAAGAGAGAGAGGGAGAGAAAATAAGAATTTCGACGCAAAACACAAAAGGTTCACCCCAGTAGAAAAGGACATGAAATAATATACACTGTACATATACCTCAAAGGATGAAAATAAGGGATGCCTTTGGATGGTACCTTATTTTGTTAAAAAAAATATCGGGCAAACCAGGCTCATACACATTGTGCAGTGAGGGAGGAGTACGCCAAAAATATGCGTTAACACGTCAAAATTTGCTTTTACTAGATGAAAAATACACATAAAATAAATAAATTGTTTTTGTTTCTTCATTAATGTGCATATAAACTGCCTATCGGAAAACATTGTAAAATATAAAGATAAAATGTCACATAAATAGAATAAAGCAAACGTTTATTATATCTTTAAAACTAGTATGTCTCTATATCTATTTATTCATGTCATTTCTTGGTGTAAAATATATAGGACATGCGTTACTAAAATGTTAGGAACGCACGTCCCATTAGGACGTGCATTACTACACGTAGGACTTACATTACTTGGGAGTCTTCGTCCTGCGGACATTGAATCCTAGTAACGTATGTCCTAGGACTTCCATTCCTAGCAATGCATGCCTTAGGACTTGCATCCCCAGGACTTAGTGTCCGGGCGGACTTGCGTTACTAGGACGTCCACTCCTGCCACACCGGTTTCAAAGTGAGCCCCATGAACTAAGCTACATATGCAACTTCATTATTTTTCAAATATAATGCCAGATGGCTCACAATTTGACAAAAAACGCAATTGATGTCAGGGGGCCAACTTGCCAGGGTCGGGGCAAGTTGGCACACTATACGAAAATGAATAAGTATCCCATGTAAACGTCTTGAAATACATTTTTATGCATTTGTTAATTTATCAAATTAATTTTTGAGAGTCTTTGATGAATAAATAGTTCAAATGAGGCAGTATTATTGAGGTTTCTATGCTTTGCCTTGTATGTGTTGCAAGAACCAAAATATATATCAGTAAAATTTGTTGTTTTAATTGAGAATAAATTAATGGTATAAAGCAGGTTTTTGAATGAAAACGAATAATAAATTCTCGTTTTAAAAGAAACTAACAAATTCAGTTTTAAACTGGTAATTATTTGTTTCAACAATGGTCTGTAGCTCTGTTGCGCGCAAAAGAATGGGGGCTATATGGGGGTCCAACTTTCCCCGAGCCAAGGGGGCCAACTAGCCCCAGGTCCACAATCTTTAGATTTAAGGATTGCAGCCGTTTATGGTGCAAGAATGGACTACGTTAATACATTGTTGTAAAATTTTAAACAATTAGCTTTAGTCTGATGCCCTATACGTATACTTTATTCGATCAAAAGCCTATGAAAACAGATTTTTGAATCTCTTAAACAAAATTACTTTTAGGTGCAAAAATCGTGTATCTGGACTCGCCACTTTAAGTAAAACATTTTAACGTCCGACACTTCCTTAACATTGTAGGCTACTGAGTATACAATACTTTACAAGAGTATGTGGCCATTTTTTACTTTTTACCTCGAAGTTACTTTTTCATAAATTGACGGGGGCCAACTTACCCTGGGGTCCAACTAGCCCCGGTCTCCCCTTTGTCAATGTGAAAGGGAAAGTGCAACCAAAGAAAATAAATAGGATTATAAAAAATCCATTTATTTTTACACTTGGGTAAAATAATTATACATGATTTGGATAGCTAGAATATAATACAGTACCAAGCCAATCAAGGTCTTTTCACATGGCAACGTTTGAAGTAATAATATAAACTGGGTAGCTATTCTCTTACAAAATAAATCAAACTGCACAACAATGTTATACTACCACTATAACAGTCTATATAAACTTACAACAATAATATAGAAAAACGGGACATGCACTTTACATTTAATTAATAAATGTAAACTACTTAATGTTTTATTGATGATCCATAATATAGTACCCTGTACATTCATGAAGTTTTTAGATTTGTACCGACTGAGCTTCAAGCTCCAAGTGATAATATACACATTATCGAACTAAATACAATCGGAAAATCTGTTTTTTTTTTCAACAGCCCTTGAAATTCGTATCAATTGTTTTCAAAAGCAAAGTCAGAATCAAAAAAGTTTAACTATGTTATACTGCACATGTTCACATCAAACAAAATTTCGCCATAGTATACAGACATTTATACACGGTGCATTGAGTTGATGTTGATATACTTGTTTGCCATTTATATGTAAGGACACTCCCAATTCCCCATTAGGGATGGGGAGGGTAGGGAGGGGCGTTGGTAGTGACAGGAACGAGGCTATTTTCTCAAACAAACAAGATATACAAAAATTGTGCATATCAGCAAAAAGCTTGTTTCAACAGATATTCATTTCATATCCATACTTTATTGCGTAATAGTTATGTAATTAAGGGGACATAGCGATTAACATATTTTCTTAGCCTGATCTTTTTTACCCTAAAAACTTAATCTCCACCAAAAACCAAACTCCCTAAAAAGTAAACAAAAGCAAACGTGCCCACATCATAGTCTGATAACCCCTTTGAGTATTAACAACATATTCTTGATTTGTGTCTAATTAACAAAGTCATCCCATCTTACAAAATGCCCACTTCAGCGATACCCCCTGCCATGACTAAAACACTCTAGTTGAAAAAAGGGGCTGGTATTATGAAATTCGAGAACATTCCCTTCAGACAAAGTTTAGATCTACCGAATAAAAGGATTCTTTCATGGGTTGGAGGTTCAAGTTAACTTTGACACTGGTCTAAATCTTTCTCTGATAAAACGTATTAATATATATCCTTACATAACTATTTCGTAATAAAATATGGGTATGAAGTTTTTAAAAAAACTGTTAAAATAAGCTCTTTTTTATATTTTTGCAACATGTTGATATACCTTAAAGAAGAAAACCAAGTTCCTGCCACTTCCCTCTCTGCATCCGAAAAAGATGGGCTGATTCAGCTGTAACTAAAAGAAAAAAATTCTAGAACAAAAAGTCATCATGATGTACATGTAAAATAGACGAGTATCGCTAAGAGATTATGGCTTTTAATTAAGTAGCCTGAAACATAACATAGCTATCAATATCATAATCTCAGAGTTGCAAGTAAGTTTTTAAATATTATCAAGCGTTCTGGAGCCTCATTTAATTAGGTTAGTATGTAATAGCTCGTGCGAAATACAGATCCACTTTCACTGAATATGACAGTGTCAGTGATGGACCAACAACAACGAATTATCCTTCAAACGAAACCGAAGCTAACTTTGGTACAGATATTGGACAATGTGCACTCTGTCACTGATCCCGACAATTAGCATTGGTTGGTTTCGCTCTTAGATTCTGCACTCAAAATTATAAATACTTAGTATATATACGTGGAATCCATAATCAGGGTTTCTGTTTGTATATCAGGCACCGAAATTTAGATTGAGGGCATTCAACGTAATCTCCGGGTTCAGTCTAGATACGTCAATGTGCATGGTCACCATATCAGGCACTTGACAGAAAGTCAAATTGAGCTTGAACGGTCTTACCATGTTGTCGGTCTTTAGCAAATACGTCCAGATAGGTACCACCTACTCTGAAGGTAACATCCATCGGTCGGTTTATACCCAATGATGTGTCAGGCATTTCTAGGGTTAAAGAGCCAATCATTACACATTCGGGGTCTGTGGTGTACTTGACGTCTGCATTTGGTGAAACGTACACTTTGAAGGCAACGGACGTTTGGTCTCTTTTGAGTGGAAGAAAAACTTTGTGAATTTCCTGTCCACACATATATGTTTGGTCAACTATCAGAAAGGTAGAAAGAAAATCTTTGCATTTTGCCTGACCGTCAACTACGTGTTTTTTATTAAGGGGGTGAATATTTGGGTCGAAATTTGTGTTTGTTTCAATACCATATGTTTGACAGCTAATGCGCTTGCAAACCATGGACGGATCATGCCCGTAAAGTACCGCCCCCATCATCACTGCTAGCCCAGGATCTCTGGGCACATGAAATTCCCGTACACAGTTCTGAAACTCGCGCTTTATTCTATCTTGAAGAATGCTACATTCTGAGTAGCCACCTACCAGAAACATTGCGTCTAAGTTTTCAAGGGCCGGGTTTTGTAACAGAGCACGCAAGTGGTTTAAGATATTTTGAATTGAACTCTCAAACAAATTTTCAAATATCACCCTTTTCAACCTCATTTTATCTCCAGTCCATTTATATTCTAAATTCTCACTGCTTCGATCCCATTTGCATCTAAGCTCGTGGGGAATGTAGATACTAATCCATTCACTTTCTAGAGCCTTTTTTGTACTTCTCTTGGCTATTTCAAAACTATGCTGCAATTCTAAACATTCTGCAGGATTTCCCCTGGCAAATTCCTCGTACTCTGCCTGTCCACAGTAATTGTGTAACTTTCTGATAAAATCTTCATCTACCTTTGTTCCTCCCCAAGCACCGCCAGATGCCTTGTGTATTTCTTTGAGACGCTGATCACTCTCTATCTGGTGAACTGTCACGTCAACCGTGCCTCCTAGAAACATTATGTTCTTTGTCTAATAAAATGACAAAAACTGTAATGCTTTTGATGAGCAAGCTACAGTATATTAACCCGACCTTCGTTTGTACTCTCCGTTTGTACTCTCCGTTTTAATTTTCATGCAGTTTTCATTAAAGTTCATTTATCAAATAATATTTACCCCACGTGCATTTATTTTTTTAATAAGATATTTTATTACCTCCTATGTCCAGTGTCATGTACTTTGTTCCCGGTTGGAAGACATTGATTTGGTTGCTGGCTCCCTCTTTTTTATCTACGGGAAGAACGCGACAATACAAGGACGCGGCTTCTGGCTCGAGGGCTAACAGGAGATGGTTCTTTTGTATTCCTGCCTGGATAAAATGCGACAATATCAATTAATAAACACTTAACAATATCTCTGGCTGATGTAACCTAGGGAGCACCATTATGTGTTTTAACACTGAAACGTACATTATATCTTTGAATGAGAAGATGGTTGAAGTTGTGAACGATTGAATAATATGATGCGGCAAAGTAAGTCCTCTCGAGACGAAAACAAAATTACCCATTTTCAGATTACGAAGTCAAGGTCACATAAGTTTGCACTTGAAGAAAAAATATATATTGCAAGTACAAAAATTTTACCTCTAAAGCCGCTTCTATCATGAATTGCTTGGCAGCATCGTTCCAAATTGCTGGGACGGTGATAACCCAGTTTATATCATCTTTTGTGATGGTAGTTACTTCGTTTCTAATCGAATCCATAAGGTGTCTCTTAAAGTAGCCTATTGCCTTTGAAAATACGTCGAAAGCTGAATGATGTACCGCACAGACCGACTCTAACTTGGTCGTACGACTAAGATTCTGAAACGAATTTCAAGAACAAAGATAATTAAGATATTTTCAGAGGTTAAACAGCGATGACATGAGCTGGTTTTCCGTGAATAACTCACTAACAAGGCAGCAAAAGTACAGACAATGCAGAAAATAATATGGTACAAATAGGTCACTGTCTGATCCAGTAATACATTATGATATGCTTAACTGGCAAGTCAACATCAACGGATGACTGCAGATAAGAGGGTAAAAGTACCCATCTTTGTACATGAAAAATAAATTGTGAATGAATGGAAAAAATTGATGCTAAATTAAAGTTGGGTTTTTACACTTTCATGATCGACTTTTTTTTGAATTTGAAATATAAAAAAAAAAAAATTAATGTCAAAATTACCTTCTCAAATATTCATGAAGATGTGTGTTTTAGGGGAGATCTAGCGTAAAATGCTGCATATCTATAGTAATAGTAAGGTGACAACTGTAGAATTTTGTAATTGGGTACAGAATTTGCCCGTGGTACAAAAGAAAGGCAACAAGTGGCCAATCATTGTTTGTGATCAATATTTTGATTGATTTATTCTTTCATGTAGTGCTGATTGAAAGAAGAATCTCACAATGACTTGAGGATAAACACATGGATTCAGACCTCCCATAGCAAAACTAGGCCCATCAGTGGCCGGTACTGTCAGTGTAATGCAGGTTCCAAGACATTGGTAATTGTGCACATATCACTTCAGTCCTGTGATATATGGGGTTTGCCATGAGGCAGGGATACAATCGGAAATTATGTTGTGGAGAAGGCTGTTTGGATGCCTCGCATTTACCAACATCAGGTGGGGACAGTATTAGCGAGACAGAAAGTGTTTCGGACAGCAAATCTGGTTAATTATCTATTGTTTCTTATACAATTTTTATTCTCATATGTGTATATTTTGTATAATATAACTATTGCATTGCATTCTATACAAGGTCTTTATCACATAATCATATACAGTAGTAATAATAATTATGTTTCCGTTGTACAACGTTTTAGAAACGTTTGAAATGTTTTAATCTCTATCCGGTGAATAGAACGGGGCGGACAAACAATGGAGAGCCGCCTAAATCCCTTCAAAATTCGAACGCATTAACAAAATAGTTTAGCCGTAATAACACCCAATACCTTAGGCGAGTGAACCTAATGACGCCGGTATCTGTGGTCCAGCGCGAGTGCAACAATCCGCTGTAACGAAGTGTAATTAACAGCAGGATACATCAGCCAGAAGGTCACCATTGTTTGTTGTGGCGATCAGATTATAGCTGTAAGAGGCTTGAACCCATGCTACTGCGTGCCACTAAACCGTCTCCTGTAGTGAACTGTCCTTTTGATCACTAGTTTAGCACGTGCAGCTGATTATCTTTTTAGTGTTGCTAACAAACTGCTAGTTAAATTTTTTTATCAGGTATTTCATTCAATATGAATTTTCCAGAGTGAAAAATTGAACTAAGTATAGTTTGTTTGATTAACATGCATGAGCTTCAGCATCAACCTAAAAATCTTATCGCATGAATTTAGAAATGAATAATTTATGTATAAACTTACTGATTCAAATATTTATAAAACATGAACGATAATGAATGAGGAATAAGAAAAAGCATTTTAAAAAGGAACAATACAAGGCAAATATATTACTTATACTAGCTTTAACTATATTATAATATTTATTAAATTAAATGAGGTGCATTGACAGAGGCGCAAGGATAATCCAACTCCAACGTGCAACAGGGGGACCTATGACATTGTGACCATACAATTCATGAGAATACGGTCAATTTACAGTGTAAATCATCAGTTAAAGAGGAGGGATTTTACCATGGCTTGCTATCTATTGTTAAATGCGACTGTTATTATCTCTCGAACAAGCTTAAACCATGCCCATACAATTACTGTGTCTCCGGCTCCCGTGCAGAAACGCCATGTCGAACACATTTTTCTACAGTTAACAGTGTACACTAGCGTCTTGTTTTAGATCATTCAAGTAAGTATGCATGCATGCGATACCTGGGGGAGGGGGGGGGGCAATCAAGTATGCAACTGATCTCTTAATTGTAATTGCACAGTGCATGTAACTAGACCTTTTTTCTAACTCAGTAGTTTAGAATAGGATGCTTGGACAAAAAGCTTCTATTCAACTCGCTTAGACCTAGGGCGCGATGCTGCTATCACGCAAGGAATCGCCTTCACTGAACCCCCTACCTGAAACCCCCCTAGCTGAAAAAAAAAAATGCCCCTTGAACGTGTCCATTTGTTAATCGTCAAATGATTTGTGATTTCATTGATCGACCCTTGTGCTGATTATTTATTAAAGCATAAGTTTATTCAACATGGTCTATTTTGTAAACAATACTTGACATGTCTAGATTGTGCTTGGATTGATCATCGTCACTGTTTGGCTACTCTCACTGTAATGCGTGCTGAACGACAGACAACTTATAAATATAATCTGTGTTATTGTGTAAATGACTACATTAAGTTAAAATATGACGATGTCGGTGATTTCATCCATCCAACATATTTATATTTGTGTCAGGTTAACACCAAATCAAAGCAAGCTTGATGACTGGTCTTGTTTAAAATGTCGTAAATTAAGTAAAGCTAAATAAAGCCTGTTTCTAGTTCACAGTGTTTATCCCAGCTACATGTATCCAACTGCATGAAGAATATAGCAAGACTCCGTAGCGAATTAACTTTCACAATGCCTGAGAGTAATATAATTATGAGACCGTGTATGAAAGATTTTACAAACTAAAAATCCAAGAATTTAAATATGCTAGGTTCGTGCACGTCACTTAAGTCATTTCACAAAAATTGCACCTAATTGTTTAGATTAACCTCTAATTTTATCGATCTCAACGTCTTGTCTGATCCACCTGAAAGTAATATAGTGAACATGAGGCAAACTAACACGTTCACATGTAGGCGAAGGGGGTATACTTCAATATTGATTACAAACAATATCAACAGCGATTCAATACCATTGCCTGTCTTTCACACGTTTACACGAACAAACGAAAGTCGCGTCGCGATATCTATCCCTCTCCTTCTAACAAGCAAAGGGTTGACCCGAAGTAAGCTTTCTAAACTAATTTCCTTTTGATTGTATATTGTAATCACTCCACTTGCTAACCTCCATTTCCTGGTAAAAGTGACAAAGGATGTGTTGTTTTCACATTCGAGTTGATAGAACTTTACACAACTCCTTGAACGGCGACAGTGCTTTTCTGAACAACTTACCTGTGAACCTGTATTAGTTAAGAAAAGCCCCCTTTTCAACAGGCGTGTTTTTTTTTTTTAATTAATTCATGTCACAGAGTAAATTTATACAGGCAAAATTTCATTCAAGGAATTAGTTCCAAGAAATGAACGAGAGTTAAATATAAGTCAGCACAAATATAAACCGTACAACAGTGAGTCTATATTTAAAGTATAATCCCTCCTGTTATGGGCCATCACCTTGGTGCAAAACAGTCCATCGTTTTTTTCCACCGCGAGCTCCTTAATTAATTAAACAGTTATGAGTAGTAGTTCAATGCACACCCAATGAAGATTGGCGTAGGTGGTATAAAAGGGAGGATACAGGTTAAAGTGGTCACTTTCTAGCCTGCTTGCGGAAGGGCGGGATCATTTTCCTCAAAAATCATGGACGCCGACTTTCGAGAAGAGATAAGAACCGAAGTTCAAGAGGCGATAACAAAGTCCCAGAATGCAATGATGACTGAAAAAATCAAAGATATCATTTCTGCTGAAATGGGACGATTAATGATATAAAATAAGTTGGCAGAACAACATTTGTTGAGGGCAGAGGAGTCTCTTTTGGTTGGAGAGACTCAAAAGTTCAAAAAGAAAGGGAATGAAGAACAATTTAAGTTCAATGGTTCTCTTATGTTTAAGACTGGTGAAGCTTCCAACACCATTAGCAACGAAAAATTAACACAAGGCTATGTCGATAGTTGTAGAGAAAAGTTAGCTGAAGTCATGGAGTCGGTAAAACACAGAAAAAAGCTCATAAAATTAGCCGATTCTTCAGAGGCTGGTTGGCGAGTGGTTAGCGAATACGTGTCTAATCCTCTTGCGGAAGATTCTGATGATGAGAAAAGAATTCTAAAAGCTCAAGGCAGAGCGGAAAGGAAGATCAAAGCCGAGAAGAACAAAAGGAGGGAGAATGTCCGTTTTCGACCTTCTAATTATAATTTTACAATCCTAGTTTTAGTAGGCCTAAGCCGGGGAGGTGTTATGGACGTGGAGAAAGAGGTCACTGGAAGAAAGAGTGTCCAGAGGACGCCGATGCGCAGAATAAGATATTTTCATTTGAAAATAATCATGCAAATTTGCGTCAAGATGACAGAGTAGCGAAATGAATATCAAATTATGGTAGTGACGAAAATGTGTTGTAACTAAATTCAGTGAATACGCCAGTTGGCAATTTAAGAAGTCATTTGACAGCTTGGTCAGAAATTAATGCAAGTGAATACATATTGGGGGTCATTCAGAAAGGTTATAGTCTACTGTTTAAAACGGAGTCAGGGGCCATATATTTGAAAAATAATAAATCTGCCAGATAAAATGAAACATTTGTTACAAATGAAATAGATAATTTGTTGAGAAGAAAATGCTTTTCAAAAGTGTTTTATAGATGTTTGATGGTCAATCCATTGACAGTTGCAGTAAGTGACACTGGAAAGCAGAGGTTGGTGCTAGATTGCAGATATATTAACAAACACTTATATCAGTTTAAATTCAAATATGAAAATGGTGAAATAGCAAAAAGGTTAACGACAAGATTATTTATTTACTTATGATTTAAAATCGGCATATCATCATGTAGCCTAATGATAGCTGCAAATTCTGTAAAATTTCTGGGTTTCGAATGGAAAATTTGTTATGTTTTCAATGTTTTACCTTTTGGAGTGGTTTCAGCAGGTTTTTTATATTATCTTAAATTATGGGGGAATATTGGAGATCCGTAGGACATAAAGTCATTATATAT